CATAGCTCAAGCTAGCAAACTTGGCTCACAACTCAATATGTAATAGAGCTGGATGGGCAAGGAAACCTTCACAAGATTAGTTAGAGTATCACTTAAACATCATCGTATTCTACACATTGTCTTGATTGTTGATGGGGGAAATGTTAAAGGAAAAGTATAACGTAGGAAGGCTATCGTGGAGAAACTGACTTCAATTTAAAGGAAAATTATAACGTAGGAAGGCTATCGTGGAGAAACTGACTTCAATTTAAAGGAAAAGTATAACGTAGGATGGAAAGTGAATGAAATGTTGAGAGAAAAGTATGGCGTAAGGTGGATGTCTTGAAGGGACTGGCTTAAATGTTATGGAATAAGTATAACGTAAGGTGGATATATGATGTGGGAAAAGAGGTGGATATCGGGAAAGGACTGACTTAAATGTTATGGCGAAAAGAGGTGGATATCGTGAAGGGACTGACTTAAAAAATGTTATGGGGAAAAGAGGTGGATATCGGGAATGTACTGACTTAATGTGAAGGGAGAAGTTGGTGTGGAGAGGCCAACGATGTAACGTGAGGAATGTCAGCAACCCAAATGGCAAGTTTTTAGTGCCAACGTTTTATGACAACCAACTTCACGACAGCTCACAGCTGTACACTGCCCACTTGGTTTTAATACTGCTACTACTGCCTAGTTTATTCTCCTGCATCATTTTTATACTGCTATAAAGATGTCTTTTTTTTCTACCGCGCGCAGTTATAATGCAGCGACCTCTCCCGGCACAGTATACAGTTGCTGGTATGTTCATCGGCGCGTGCCAACCAATCCTCATCAATACCCAGATTGTGCTTGACTGCAGGGGATCAGAATGATTGAGAAAAATCAATAGGAAACGTTTCACACCATCCTCAAAGAGATGTAGGTTATCACGTGACCGGCACGGCTGCAGACCGTGATCGTCTGCTCCCCAGTGGGACCAACAGCATTATCTTGGGGCGAGAGATAGGCGGGAAAATATGTTTGTCATCTCCGTCAGACAAAACAGCCTGTTTGTTGTCTACCTTGGGCTTGTTTACTGTCCGTCTTTTGTTCATTGGTAAACAAACACTTATTACAGTACAGTTCTTCTCATTTTAATTGCTATTTGACTAATTAGACATAGTATTCCCCTGACTCCAGTGGCGTAGCGAGGTCGCGTGTCACCCGGTGCGGTACCAAATGGTGGCACCCCCCAGAGGCGTAGAGACTCTTCCCGGGGACAAACTTTCAATTTTCGATTTGTACCCCCCCCCCCTCGAACTTTTTTGATTTGCACCCCCCCCCCCTCAAATTTTTCTCTATATATTTTACCATTTTTTGCCTTGGTGTCACCCCCCTAAATGGTGTCACCCGGTGCGGTCCGCACCCCCCGCCCCGCCCCCCTCGCTACGCCTCTGCCTGACTCCCATAGGGTTGAGAGACCGAGACAACCCATAGACAAAAAAATTCGACTGATTATAACCTCAAAGTTCATGTCATTTTTTTTGTTATGCCATAATTCTGTAGTTTTACACCAGAAAAAAACAATGCGCACAATAATTACTTTACAGAAGTAAAAAAAAAATTACGGCCATAGTAAGGCATGATTAATCAAACCACGGTCCTCTATAAACACTCTCGAGTAATCAGCCACCCCACCCCAACTAATTACTACCCCCCACCATCGCACTGGTCATAATCCGATCATAACAGCAACAAAAACAACAAGGAGATAACAGAGAGTGTGTCGTTGTTTTGTTCCAGCGCTCTTTTATCCAGTAAACACAAATGTAAACAACATGTTTGCAAACGGGAACCACGTGACTTTGTTTACACAGGAAAGGGAAAAAAATCGAAACCTCACCGAACATTATCTTCTGCAACAGTGGCAAGAGGAGAGGCCGGTACCAACGCTTGGCACACATGAATAATTATGTAAAGGGGCCTGCGCGTGTATGCTGTAATGTTGTACATACATTACAGATCTTATATATATATATATATATATATATATATATATATATATATATATATATATATATATATATATATATGACCCAAGTAGGCCTACATGATCATCTGACAAGCTATCCCCCACACTTAATCATATAATCAATACCACATAGTTCTCATACCCCGCTCATTCTTTCTACCTCTTTTATATGAATATGAAGTTAAAAGTACAAGCAGTTTCTTTCGGGTAGGGGGGGGGGGGCAAGTACACTGCTCCCTACCACTTCGTGCGAAGAGGATAAAAACAATGATTTATATAGAAAATAAATCCTTTAACCAAGGTCCGCCCCACACCCCTCCTTTAAAAAAATGTCTGAAAGAAACAACGAATACAACATGAAATCCGATAAGATGACCACCAACCAGCTCCCCCAACGACACAAGACACTCTGTCAGACACCCACCCAGAGCGAGACAGACGTAATCTTAGAACCATCTTGCATTCACGGACCGTGTAGTCTGCTGACGTCGTGTCTGTGTCATAAAACAACATGGAACCTGTCCCGACCCAGTCACCCCCACGTTCCAGGCCAGCATCGTCATGTGCAGTACACACAGACTGGCACTCACGTTGTGAAATCGTTGTAGAGGCATAGGAAAACATGCGTACGTCGTCAACGTTATTATTGAATTAGGGGTCGCAGATAAACGACATCTGCATCCCCCCCCCCACCCATTCAAATTGTAACCGTGTGACGTTAAGTATGGACCACCCCCATCTTTCATCCCCCCCCCCCCCCCCTGCGAATCAAAATGTTTAAAACAAACGCTGCCGTCATCCTTACACATGAGCCAAATGTATTTGTTGCCCTATGTGGCACTAACTGAATAACCGATTCTAAGACCATCTGTCTTTACAAATAGGATAGGGGAGATAATTTAAAATGAAGATTGTGTGCGTGGCTTTAAATCTGGACAGAGAAAAATGCACTTTTTTTTCAAACTTGGCATTAGTCTTGTCTTTTACATATAGACTTTATCTACCGTCTGTTTAGTTATAAAATTAACAAATTTTGAATGAGCTAAATAGTTGAAGTTTCAATGACCTAACAACTAACATTCAAATAAAAGAGAAGGAAGGCCCCATGAATAATTAATAATGTCAAATTGTAGTTGCACAATATAAAAAATATATTTTAATTTCACATTTTAAAACCCTTTTACTAGACAACAAATAAAAGTCAACATATAAGAATAGATGTCTCAGCAAAAGAAACATTCATCTTATCTGTAATAAAAGCTACCTTTAACTCTGCACACCATGCACAATCAAATACTTTACTCAATTTTACCAGGTAACACTTTTAAATGTTCCCCAATCTACTTCATCTATAATTAACAGTCGCTGTGCACCCAATAACCCCCATAAAGGTCAATGTAATCATTAAGCAATTAAAAAAGCTTCTTTCCAAGGTTATTAATATAATCTTTATTGACTTTGATGTCGCAGTTATTGATAATGTAGTGGTAATGTTACGATTGTCCTAAAACAAAAGCCCTTTTACGTTCACACACGCCCACCCCCGCTCACACCTTACCACAAGAGTAACCAATACCTTATTTAACCACCAGGCAATACATTAGCTGTTCCTACCATTTTCAATTAACCAATTCCCTCTACACTAATTAAATTTAGTCCTAGCCAAAATCTGGGATCAATACGCTCCGAGCAATAGGGACTTTCTCTTCATGAATTATACAGTCTCCCCAGGACTAGAGGAATCAATTCTACCAAAAATAGTTGTCAATGGTGTTTTCTTTAACATCCCCAAGCTATTAAGGCTTCTCCAATGAGATCAGTTGGTCTAAAATTAATGTCGAATCTGATGTTTTTATTGAATTTAAAAAAACTGAACTTAATAAACTTGATTTACCATACAATAAACAATCAATCAAACTTTATTACATAAAAGTAATCTCAGAGCTGTTTGTGTTTTTTTGTTTTGTTTTTTTTTGTTTATTGTTTGTTTTTGCTTTTAAATTAATTAAGTTTTTACAAGAAGTCCTTTTGATTCATAATAAAACATAATGAGGTGGCAAAAGTGAACACAAAACAAAACATCTTTAAAGTTAAAGCTCTGTGTTTTAGACATGCTTTGTTAAAATCCTTGTCTGACAATGTTTTTATTTAATAAAAATCCCTTTGTCATCTGCACCTAATTATCAAAATTAACATTTTTTTTAAAGTTTTTTTTTCACCAAGCATATTGACATTACTGATGTACTTTTTGGCAATAGCTGAAAGCTGAGGCATGCCTTTTTTCAAGTCTGCTGTACTAAACAATTCATGAAATTAAGAAGATGTGTAAATATTTTTTTCTTATAGGCTGCCACATGGCTATATTCCCAAGTGAGATGTTCTTCTAGGTCTAGATGATATTTTAGGAATGTTACAAAGATAGATATTCTAAGTATAGTAGGCCTAATTATTAAATTAATTTTGTTTCAAGTTTAAATGAGTGTAGTGTTTTCACCACATCACATGAATGCAGCAGATTTAGAATCTATTATCAAACCTAGTGTTTCACTGTTTGGAGTCAAACCCCTGACATTTAGAATCATTAGGAAAAACAAACTTCTGCATAAATAATTAATATTTACTCTATGGCTCTATGGGACATCTTTTGAAACGTCACTGCAGTTAATTAAAGTGGGCTAGTGGCGCTAATGATATTATTAAGACGGTAAGGGGGGGGGGGGGGGTGTAAGAGGTTGATGAATGTATCTTACCCCCCCCCCCCCCCCCCCACTCTAACAAAGTGCATTTTATTTACTTCGCTTACATTGATCATGTGAATTAACTTTCATTACGAAAAATTGAGTAGACACCGGATTATTTCAAAAATAGGAACAGTTAACAATAGTTATGAAACGATCTAGATCTAGAATCTAGTTCTAGAACTAGATTTAGTGATTTAAGACTCTCACTCTAGGCTTCTTTATTAGCAGATGTAGCGTTAGTGCGCGTTGAGGAAAAAATGCATACTTACAAAAGTCAGTATATTTTTCCAACACTGCTAGGGTTAACGTGCAGAATAAATTTAAAATAAATAGAATCTATATGTATTTGTTTTACAGAAGAATGGCTGAATTAATCAAAACAAAATTGAGAACCAAGAGTTAAAACATCCACTGTTAGCCGCAAACGTGTTGACAAGCGGCAAGTAGACGTTACCTCTCACTAGCGATTGACTCAGCCGGTGTACTTGGTTTGGAACTTCACCGCTTCGCTTCTTCAAGTGGTGAGATGCGAAGGGGTGAGGGTGGTAGAAAAAAAACTCGTTTAAATTAAATTAAATGCAGTCGAAAACACATTGTCGTTAGCGTCTTACAAATCAAATTTCAAATTGAAGGGCTCAGTGGAAAAAGTACTTAAGTTACATTTTTTCAAAAATGAGTTAAGACCGGTAGATCTATATTATTTGATTACCTACCCTTAACCATCCCTGTAAATTTGGGCCATGGAAAAAGTACCGAAGTAGCTTAATTCGAACACTTTGCATTAGCTGTTTTGGTATTTCAGCTTCAATTTAACAACTTTGCACTCATTTTTCTCAAAACTCTCAAAATACACTTAAGTACTTTTTCCACTGAGCCCTTCAATTACTTCTTTTATCTTGTTGCTTTAGGCTAAAAAAAAAAAGGTAGCCTATAAAGAGTTTAAAAATGTTGGTACAAAATAAAAACTGTTCGGAGTTTCGGATGAGGAAAACCGAAACCTTAGTTAAAGGTTAAGGCTTAAGAGAAAATTAAAATTTAATTAACTCTTTATTGCTGTTTTAAATTAACTTTTCTAAAATCCAAAACATTTGCATAAATTAAATTAGTCAAGCGTAGAATGAATTCGAAACATTAGCAATAATAAGTCTCAAATGTGTGCAAAATAAAAGTTACTGACGAACAACTTTCAAAAGTCAATTTATAGTTAAAATAACTAGGGGGGAAAGCCCACTAGAGTGTGACTAGAGCTCTGAGATAAAAGCCTGACCTTCTTCTTCTTCTTCTTCTTCTTCGTTCTTAATTATTAGTGTTGAAGGGGATCGAGATTTATCTGCCAGTGGGTTTTGAACTCGAGACTTTGTTCGAATTTATCAACCATGAGCTTTTTGCCGACTCGACCACGCCTCCAACACAATTAAGCGTTACGTGTCAACTGGTTATGCGCCATTGATGCCATTGACTCCGATTTCAGCCTGCTTTTCTTTTTGGATTTGCTTCCATAGCCTTTGTCTAACCAAGGGGGGGGGGGGGGAAACGACGACTGAGCCCCAGAGACGTGTAGCGACCCTTCCCGGCGCCCGGGGACAAACTTTCAATGTGCACACCCTCCCTCAAACTTTTGATTTGCACCCCCACCTCAAGCTTTCAATTTACTTTCCAACCCATTTTGGCGCCCCCTAAGGTCGGCGCCCGGGAACATATGTCCCCCCCCCCTCGCTACGCCTCTGCTGAGCCCCCCCCCCCCCCGAACGAGATGGAATTTATATATTAAACATATTTTTACTAGTGCCCCCCCCCATCCCGGGAAATCTAGACCCCCCCCCCCCGGAAAAAACGTCTGCATGTAGCCCTAAAAATCTGCGTATTGTGAGATAAAAAATATTGCCGTTATAGAATTTTCTTGAATCAGCATTCCTGTAGTTGGGTGTCATCCATAAATCAGACCCTTCCCGGCGCCCGGGGCGTACTTTCAGTTTGGCACCCTCCATATATATATAGGGGTCATCCATAAATTACGTCACACTTTTTTGACGATTTTTATCCCCTCCCCTCCGTCGCACGTCGTCACAAAAAGCCAGATCCCCTCCTAAAATGACGACACACCTCAGCCTACAACCCCCCCCCCCCCTCAAAATTGCAGTTGAATTTTTTTTAAAACATCGATATATATATATATATATATATATATATATATATATATATATATATATATATATATATATATATATATATATATATATATATATATATATAGATATATAGATATATAGATATATAGATATATATACAAACACACACATATGTAAATACACACACATGTGTGTGTGTGTGTGTGTGTGCAACAGTCCGAAAAAAGATTTAATAATTACGATGTATTATTTTCGTTCCCTAAAACAATTAAATTTCCCTTAAGTTGCATTATCCTTTGAAAAATGATTAGTAAAGTCAGAAAAAAATAAACCTCATCTGAGTTTTGAGGGAAGTTTGTAGCAGGTGCTAAATCGTTTAGGAAAGTCTTTTTATGTTTTATCTTTGGAACAGTCTATGTTATGATGTGTTACATAGTTGGATTATAAGTTTGTTGATTAAGGTTATACGATTGATATGCAATAGCAAATTGTTAATTTATTGTACACATTGGAATATCCATACTTCCCTCGTGACATCATCACAAATGTCCTCCCCCTACCAGGAGTTTAACGTCATTTACGCCTTGGGAATTGACATAACTCACATAAGCGGACATACGTGAGCGGAGGGGGGGGGGGGCTGCAGTGCCTGTCTCGATAAGTTGTCTGAAAGAAAAACTAGGGAAATCAATTTTTTTAATACATTTTTTTTGACGGAAATTCAAATTTGCAGCACCTATAACTATAACCATAGCCTAACAATATATACGTTTTGTCAACTTATATTAGCTGGTCAACTATGTGTTCCTACATTTAGATTGTCTGAACCCTGACATTACATGTATTGTAGTAACACGTACAAAAACACACGGCAACAAAACATAGCTGACACCGGATTATTTGTTGCTGCCGGTGCACTAGCTCAACTTTTAGACAATATCAAAATTGGTTTCAGCCTTTCTGGTGAAACAAAAATAGTATTGACGGGTTAGCTCGAAGTCCATCACGGGATTAATACAATCTAAAAAAATAAATAATCGATGTTGTTTTTTTTTAACTTAAAATGTATTTTTTTAGACTTGCTTATATAATGTCCAGTCGCCCAAATCGTCTTTTTCACATCCCAAAACCGTCACAATATTTTAGACTCTAGGCAACACCTCCTTAAAATGACGTTCCAAACTCACCTAAAATAACCATTATTAAACTGAGAGAAAAAAAACGTATCTAAAATCATTTTTAAGAGGTTTCAAAATGTATGCTCAGTCATATTTCTTACCTCTTTCATATATGTCGTATACCGTCACATAGATGTCGTCGTCCCCCCTTCACCCCCCCCCCCCCCCACACACACACCTTCTAGGGAAAGTACAATTATTATGTAACACGAAGAAAATGATTAGAAACTGATTGCTTTGTTGTGATTAATATGGTGGGACAGAGGCATTGAGTTAAGATATGCCTTTCTTTTATATATATATATATATATATTTTTAGCGCAATTTCCATACGGACAATTGCGATTATTAACTCGTTATTTCTGGATGGATGGATGAATGAATGGATGTGTGTCCGCAGCTTTACCGCAGCTTTAAGTCGTATCTCCTCCTCAACGAAGCAATATTGAGGACTAGTTCCAAAAGCAAATATGTTAAGCAAGTTCCGATGATGATTGTGGGCCAAAAAATTCCCGGAATTCCTTCCTGGATTTCCCGGAAAAGCCAAAAAAAAAACTCGAAAAAATGCAGTTTTTGGCCCATATCTCGGCAACCAGACCACTTAGCGACTTGAAACATTTACCAATCGATTTCTGCCATAATTTAGAACAATATTGCCGAAGAAAGTTTTCAAAAATATCCTTTCGTTCGGTCACAAAAAAAAATTTAAAATTACATAAACACCTACAAACCGATCGTTCTCCTAGCTTGAACGCACCCCAGCATTATACGTCTTTGTGATCACTATCTATTTTTAGATAACATAAGGAAATTGCGCTTAAATTGTTACTAGACTTTTTATTAACTTGTTTTATTTGCTAAGGCTGTGTCATTTAGAATTCACTGATGCAAGGTCTATGGATACAGTTTTGTACACTTTTACAGGCTTTCCATAATATTTTTTTTTTAATCACTGTTTTCGTTGTACTAAATTGAGTGACCTTAATATAGATCAGTTAGATATGAGGAAAATGTCACATTTTTTTCTAATGCTAATATAGGTGGTGATAAATCCAATATTGATTAAAAAAAAAAGAATTTGGAAAAAAAAGGCTATATTAAGGATTTACTGGTGTACTTTCTTGTTGAAAATTATATCATGAAATATGAGACTTTAAAAAATGCATTTAAAAAATATAAAGTTTACTATGCATCATCTCAATGAATAGAAGTTAACATAATTAATTAAACAACTTTTGAAAACGAGTTCAATAGCTAACTTCGATTACACATGTATTATTGATATTGAATGGGTTGTTTCCCTTAGATGCGAAATCGCTGTTATATTTCTTCTTCCGTTTTTGCTCCATGCTCTACCTCTACACCAAAAATTACAGTATTTTTTAACAAGCAGGTAGCGAATTAAACCAAACTCAATACAATACTACCGACCAAAATAATAAAACTTCCACCATAAATCAAACATAAACGATAGATATTAATCATAGCCCTGATGTAGGCCATCTAAAAATGACGTTATGCAATCAAATCCTCTTTTAACCACCCTCCCCCCCCCCCCCCTTTTTTTTTTACTGTCGTCACGCGTGGTCACGAAAAAAACAGGATACACACCCTATCAAAAATGACCTCTCAAAGACCCCCTACCCTCAATTAACTACCACTGAATGGATGGTACCCCCCTCCTTCCACACACCCCCACTCCCCTTCTATATGGGTAACGTCACAGCAGCTAAACCTAATCCTAGTGATTAAAGATAATCAAAAGCCATTTAGTAATATTGTCAGAGCCCCCTCCCTGTAACTACCGGCGTAAATAGAAAAAAAACGGATAGGGTGAGGGGGTATGTCATCGACAGTCAGTTTATATAACGCCACAGCTAAGACTGACGCAGTTGTATGGATGTGGGTCTAGGGGCCAGCATTTCGGGTTTCTATAGATGGGTGGTTAGATAACAGACCGACTCCACCGCACCCTGACCTGACCTGGGACTTCGGGGGAATCACTCAACTGTGACAGTCATTCGCGTTACTCTTCATGACGTCACCGAGCAACAGCCCATTGTGTCAACAGTCAAGCTCCTGTAGCGGTTGTCACCGTCGTCAGCTCTAAATTAAAGACAATGACCCGACCGTACCTGATACGAATAAAGAGTCTCTATCATCAT